CGACAATAGGAAACGTATCGAATGAGATAAATTCGATAAAGCAAAGAAAATAACATTTGTAACAACGAGAAAATTGAATTAAGCTATATTAAAACCTCTTAAAAATGGTAGAAATACAAAATAATATATAAAATTTCGTGTTTTTTTCTTTTTTCAATTTACTAAATAAATATAAACAATATTAAAATTCATATTTACAGTTTCATAAATAAACTTTTAAAATTAATTAAAGTCGTAAATTAATTTTACGATTTTCATAAAATAAATTGCTTAATCTCTAATGAAAAAAGTAATGTGTATAAAAGCTTTTAGCATAATAAATCCGTTAAGAAAGGAAGAAATATATAAAATATATACAGTACCGTAATATATTTTTACTTTAATAAAAAAATTCATAAAATATATATAAAAAAATAATGCATTTTTGCGATAAACTGCAAAGTATTTTAAAGATATGTTACGCATGCACGCTTTACAAATAACTGAAATGAATTATCATACGAAATACGTAATCGCAATGTTTTATAAACGACTAAAATGATTTATTGCACGAAATAAATAATTGAAATGGGCTCTTGTCAAAAAAAATATTGAAATGTATTACACAATGTAAACAATTCTTATATTCTCTTGTAAAATAAAATAAATAAATAAAAGAAACGTAATGGGATGCAAACGGAATCTTTAAACGCGCAAAATAACTGATAATCTATCAACTGTATGAAAGAAAAAATTGTCCAAAAGTAACTTTTCGACATCTGTTAGATAAATTGTTAAGTGTTTTTAAATGGAAAGTAATGTATCGAACATCAAATATTGAAAGAAATTGTCTAAGTTTATACAATTTGCATGTCTAAGGGAAAAAATTGAAAAATGATAAACTGACAATTGATTAAATTATAGAAAATAAATGATTAACTTCATGTAAATGAAGTGAATTAAAAAGTTTGAACGAAATAAGTCGTTTAGACTATAAAAAAAAAAATCCGTTATAACAAAGTGAAGTTTAATTAAATACATAAAACCATAAAATATAACCAGTTTAAACTACAAAAAGTTCGTAAAACTTTATTTAAAAAAATATAAAAAGATCCATTTTAACAACAAAAATTCACTGATGTTAAACTGATGTTAAAAAACATAAATAGATAAAATAATTAAGTTTAATAAAGTGTATAAATAATCCTTTTTAGCAACGGAAAGCGGATAATTAAATAAAGTTTAAATAAAATTAATTAACTAATAATAAATACAATTAAGTAAGAAAAGTAATTGGCATTTTTCATTAGAGTAAAGAATTCTAACGATTCAAAAAAGCAAATAAAATCGATTTTAAATATTCACTGTAGTTAAAAATCGATAGAAATTTATTATAAAATGTTTTTAAAATTCTTTTTTCCAAGAATACGAGATTTTAATAAATTACAATGAAATAAAATTGATCAAAAAACATGAAATATCGTCAAGTAGAACTGGTAAAAGAATATATTTTTGAATATTGATGTAATACATCGTCGATCACACGCGGGCATTTTATCACTTATTCAAGAGAAACAATTCTTCTTCATTGAACTAACGAGGAATCAAAAGCGAAAATGAATTATAGAATGAAATTTGGAACACAACCTAGAAGGAAAAACACAAAAATATCCTAAAAAAAATTATTAAATAAAAGAGAAGTTTATAAATTTATGTGATGCAGCTGCATCTTTTCTTTCTTTAAAGTAATAAAATTTAATATAATTCACTTATATCTGTGAGGGGGACTTTATCAAATTGTCGATTTGTAAGAATTACCATTGCACTTACAATAAAACTTTCAGGCGATGTTCATCCATTCTCCGACAAGTAGAGTGCATTTGTATTTGTAGATAAAACTTGGAAGCGTTTACGTTGATTATTCCAATGGAATATTGAATAATCGAAGCATTTCTGAGTGAGAAGAGTGAATATAACACCCATAAATATTGATGCCAACCCATACAGAAAAGAAAATTGCCCAAAACTCTCGTTACTTCGCAGCTAAACAAAATTTATTCTCTTGCTAGATTAACACTAATTTTGAAAGCTTAATTATCTGAAAAATTTAATGGCCTTTCAATTAAAAATAATCATCATTCTTAAAGAATATTTAAAAACCTGATTAAATGATTTTATTCATAATTACTCATGCTTTTAAAATTTTTATTCATCAAAAATTGTTATTTATTATGTCCATTATGATAACTTTTCTAAGAGAAACATTATTAATTAAATGTCTAAAAATTGCATATATTTTTAATGAGTTTGAATCAACGTAATTTATTTTCTTGAAAAATAAAATAAAATATAAAAAATATACGAGAAAAAAAATAGAAAATTGACTGCTACTTCATGTAAAGTACAAGTTAATATACATAATTCATATTTTGATTTTCATCAGAGCTACGCTAAACGTTTGCTGCGTTATAAATTCTAACCGCTCACGTTGACAGATACTTAGACCAAACTTTGATATATGATATAAAATTCTTCGTATTTTCAACAAAAGATTTTTTTTATTTTTATTCAATATAAATCATCTGTTTATAAGTGATAATGAGAGTTGAACGGATACGTATAGGATCGCGCTGCAAATTTATAAATAAATTTATAAACTCGAATCAACAACAGGGTTTCTACAGTGTTGTGTATTCTATAATATATCTATATCAAATTTATTTTATGACGTTTTTTATTATCGATAAAAATATTTTCACATTGATAACTGTAAGGAAGAAACTACATGAAGAATGTATCATACACATACTTTTTTTTATATATGGCATCAAGAAATATGCTTTACAGTAATAGAAAAATATTGAAAATTTCTATTTTTAAGATTATTTTACTAGTGTAGCAAAGCGTAGTTTTTCATCCCGTGTTTTTGCTTGATTATTGTAAGATTTTTACGAAAAGCATTATTGTAAGAAGCTTGGAAAAATTAGTAAAAATTAATTAATTTTATTCTATAATAAAAGTTTAACCGTATATTTATGTTAAGTAATTATTTACATCTCTATAAATCATTATATAATTTAAATTTTTTATGAATATTTCTTTTGTTCGTGTTTAGAAGCATCAAACAAAAGGCAATCTTCAAGTGTTTACATAAAGGATAAATAAATTAAATAACGATTAAAAATTTAAATACAAAAATATAAAATGTATATGATTTAAATTGCATAATTTTAATCAACTTTACTTATGGTTTTTTTTCTTGCTTTATAGAATAGTTTTGAGTTATTTCTATTTACTAAATTTTTTATGAGTTGGAAAAAACTTCATTTAGAAAGTCAAACATATAAAAAAACTATTAAGTAACTAAGAATTTTTAAAATTATTTATTTATTTATTTAAGAACAAGATTAAATTACGTGTAAAAAAAAAACTGAAAATATTTGGCATTTTTGGGGAATTTTTAATATAGGTATTGCAATGAAGCCAAAATACATAATTTAAAAATAAGCTCAAAGTATAAGAAATCTTTTAATATATTTAAAATAACAATACAAATATGCTTATATTATATTTATATTGTCAAAAAAACCTTAAAATATTTTATTCTATGATATTCCTTTAACGCTATTATCAGATATGTATTAAAATAATTTAAAACATTAACGTCATTTTTATATATTTGTAAAAACAAGGAAATAAACACGATAGAATAAAAGTTAATTAAGCTTTTTTTGGCAGATGAAAATAAAAAAATATATTATTGAAATAAATATATGTATTTCTTTCAAAAATATTTTTAAAAAACTCATTAAATGCAATTAAATATGTAATATTTTTATTTTAAAAAATAATTTTTTATTTGAAAAAAAACTTAATTTATAGATGATGTAAACTATCTGTTGATGTTTAATTTAGCCACAAAATAACATTCAGTATATCAAATCAAAAAAAGCTTTTTGGAGGCTTATACAAGTCTTGTTAAAACATCTAATTTATATTTTTATCCCAAGTATAAAAAACTAATAATAAAAATATAAAGAAAATAAATTTTTATAGTTTTTTATAGTAAAACCGTCAATTTTATATAGACTTATGTATTAATGTATTAAATAAAACTGCTAAACAATTTTTTAAGTGAAATTACGTTATACATCTTAAAAGAAAGTTTTTAAATAAAAAGAAACATACAAACATTATTTATTATAGATTTATAATATTAATTTTACCCACAAAATAATATACATTTGTGTGTAAGCTATAGAAACATTCGTTTTCCTCAAATATTTGTTTTGTCCAGGTGCATGTATCAGTCAGGTGTATTTATTAGGATACCTATCTGACGTTATTGAATCACGTTCAGATAAACGCAAACATTTCTTATAAAAATAAATAAATTCATCAGCTATATTTAAATATTTTTATTCATTATAACGGGGATTAAATTTTATCTACAAAATTATATTTTTAGTTTAAGTCGATTAGTTCAATTTTTAATAAAATGTTAGTCAAAATTTTTTACAAGCAGAAGCGAATTCATCAAAAATTATAATCGAAAATAAACTTTGCTGAATAAGCAAAAATGCTAATTTTCGATAGTGTTTGGTATACATTATTATTGTTTAATATATAGCACTATATTCGTGATGATAAATTTCCTATAATGTTATTTTTATTAACCTAAATAAAAAACTTTCTATGGCTTTTATCTTCCATAAAATGCATTTATTTCTTACAGACTGTAACTGTATAAATGTTCAATATCTTAAAAAAAATATATATATATATAAATATATACTTTATAGAAAGAAAAGTCGCGTGTGTGGTTATAAACGCGAGTCACAAAAGTTTTGACAGTAAATTTTATATAATTTTGCACTAACTTCTGTAACTGTTCTTATAAAAGTTTTATACGGTGGAGAATGAAACCCATAAGTCTATATAAGTATAAGAATTTCGATAATAAACAGTTAATAAACGTGTATATAATAGGAAAGATGTGTAATATATAGAGAGTAACTCACCATCATGATCAACATTAGAGGCATCATGACTGCACGGTGGTCGAATAGCGACTGTCAGTTCTACAGGAGAGCTTTCGGTTTGCTGAAAGATCGAGGAACATCCCATTTACAAACAGGGAAGAAGTAAAGTTGGAAAGGAGAAGAAGATATTCGGCTAAGTTCCAAGTCGTAACTGGCGCTCTTGAGACCCAAATATATGGATGAGTCTATACAGAGATTGGTTGTAAATTCCTGATTGGAAAAATTCAACTTTTTTCTATTTTTCTTTATTTCCTTTTTTTCTCTTCAAACTTCTTTTTTGAAAATGTCGATAAATCAGTAGAATCTTGACAAATATTGTTTTTATATGTTTCTTTTTTCTTTGTTTAATTCTCTTGTAAAATTTTACCTTTCTTTCTTATTGTTTTTAATGATCTGTAAACTTAACTACAGAACTTTTTAAAGCTTTAACGAAAGTTTAATAGTATTGTTTAATTTTTTATCATTTATAATTGCTGATCTTTAAAAATTAATATAATGTTTTTAATAATGAAAAAAATCATAAACATAATTTTTTATTAATATTTAAACGTTTATTTAAAAAAAATCACAAACAGTTTTTACATAAAACATAAAGTAAACTTCTAATTAAAATATTCTGAAGCAACTATGTGAATTTATGTATTAAATCCTCGTAAATAAAGTTTAAAATTTATGAAAATTTTATTTATTGATATACTTTTTAATTATATTTTTTATATTTTAAAATTAATAAATCTAACATTAAAAAATTTTATTTTTAATATTTTATATTGATCCGTTTAAAATAAATTTAGAAATTTAATATCTATTTAAATTATTATATTAATATTTAAAACGTATATAAATATGTTTTTACAAGAATTATTGGAAAAATTAATAATTATTTATAACCTTAAAATGTATTAAATGTTTTATTGTTTTATAAATTATACATTTTTAAGCTTAACTATTTTAAAAATTTTATACGTCTCAAAGATATAAAGAGTTAAAAATCCACTCTTCATTCTGAAATCCATGTTAAGTTATTATCTTAAAAAGAAAAAAATCTGAAAAAACAAAATTTTCTAATAAACTGTAGTAAGAAAAAATCTTATAAATTTTGTAAGTTTTATCTTAAGGAATAATTTATAGAAACAGCTTTGCGGTATCACTTGACAATACAGCATTAAAAAATCATTGAATTTCAAAATAAGTTCAAGGATTGATGTTACTGACAATACATTTTTTTATTATTTTTTGTAAAAGAAATATATTTATTCCTAACATTGCCACTTGAAAATTCTTCTGTAGTTTCTTCTTAAGACATTAAATTTTAGTTTTAAGGCCATCATAACGTATTACAGATAAAAAAACAGTTTTAAAGAAATATATATACATAAAATATATACCGTCACGTTTATAGAAATAAAGTAAAATATAGTAAATATGCAAGAACCATTTTATTTTATATATTTCCAAATTTTACATATTAAACTTATTTGTACATCGTGTTTCACATTTTAAAGTTTTACATACCAAGTCTAGAATTTTAATTTTTTTAAAGATTCTATTCAATATTCCCATCAAATAACTAGCATTTATAACGTAGAATTAATAAAATCGAAACTTAAGCTTGATTTTAAAAATAAATTTTAAGTAATTTTTATATTTACATCTTAACAAATTAATTTTTAATATTTGAACTGGAGTTTAGAGATATTTTTAATAAAATAAACAAGAAATAATTTTTTTCTTAATAACTGAAAAATGATAATATTCTTCCTAACTGTTAAAACAATTAATGATTATTCTAACAATAAAATTTACAAAAATGGCTTACATAATAATTAAAGAAATATTAATTGCTCAGTTGATAATTAAAACTCATAAAGGTCTTCCTTGTTTATTAATTAAACTCTCAGCAATCAGACAAACAATAATACTTCGTCTTAACAACTATAGACAACAACAATGGCTCATTTAATTGATTTTTAAATTGTATTTTCTGGGATTATAATCAAAATCAGATGAAATAATCCATTAAAGTGTTTATGAAAATTACATTCTTTTTTAAAGTTTAAGCTTGAAAAGTATGCTATATTTTACAACTCGAATGTGTAAAGACAGCACAAATGCTGCGAAAATATCTTAAATAATAAATTGTTTATGTAAAAATACAGCAGTATAATTAATTTAGTAAAAATATCGCTCAATAATATGCTTAAACGTTGTTAAACAATATTTAATATAGGCCTACGTTTAAGTGCATTATTAAACAATACCTACAATAAAATTCTGTCAAAATTGAAAATTAAATTTTTTTTCTACTTCAGAAATAAATAATTTTATCTATAAGCATCAAATCAAACACAAATTTTAAAAAATCTTTGTTTTACTTTAATAGCTAAAATTAATAAGTTTTATAAAATTTAATACGGATTTTATGCTCTTTCAATTTAGGTTAATCTTATTTTTTTTATTTTTTGTACAATAGAAGAAACTATTCTACATTCTCTATTCCTCGAATAGCTTTAAGGTATTTACTATCGGTCTTCTCGAGACTTTATTTCATCCTTCTGAAAATAATGACTTTTTCGAATACATCTCACATAAGCATGAAGCCCAAATATATTTCTCCCCTTCTCGGCATCTTGTGTAATAAGAAATACAAAACAATATACGAAAAACCAGTAAAACAGAAAAATTATTCGGATGCGAAAATTAAAAATGAATTCTCGGTGGAAACCTAAAATCTTTGGTTTAATAAAAGGATAAAGATAACATCTAATCTTGTTATCTGAATGAAAAAATCAGTTAATAAACATTAATGAGCCATAAATATTATGAATGAAACTCATCCATTCTTTCTACTTTAAATGAAAAAAATATATATTACAATAATTTTAGTCAGATACAGTATTAGATTATCTGAAAATATAAACAATTAAAATTATTTTAAGAACTATTACAACCAGTTTATAATATCAAAAATATAAAATTGTGATATTCAAGTTATAAAAATATCTATGAAATCAAGACAATCTCAATTATGTAAACTATTCTTCGCTTTTTATGATCCTACAAGTATACTGTCTACGTACAAATTATTTTAAATTAAATATTATTATTTAAATATTTCATTTTAAATAAAGATCGTGGTTATTTTACATTTTTTTACTGTAATCTGCAGATTTAAAAGTTTATGTACGGTACAGTATATTTAGATTTACATAAAATCAATTTTTTGCCTATATTGATTATAATGAAGATAAATAAATATTTACTGTGTATAAGTTAGACATGGAGAATGTATCGTTATTATTTCAATGGGAATATAAAATCAATACTTTAAGATTCAGAAAGATGCCACTTGGGATAAAAACAGTTCTATAATATTTCTTATAGAAGTAAAGCCTTTTTAGATGATGTTGCATTAGGTAATCTTTCAAATATAAATATAGTACATATAGTACATAATACATGTTAATAATTCGATAAAATGTATTAAAATATAATTAATATAATAAAACATTATATCGTTCAGTAGCTCTATACAGCGATACATTATATAACCTATATTGTACAGTATATGCGTAGAATGTTAAAGTGTATACACTTATTAAAATATTTTATTGATATAATAAAACGTAACTTAGAAACGATACATTTAAATTCTGAAAAATATATTTTGCTAAAGTCTTTGTTACGGTATATTTAGTGTAATTCCTTTCATTGAGGTTACGCTTACTTACTAAAATCGATGTTTCAATTTGTTCCTTCGTTCTGCACATTTTATTTTATAAAATATTAATTGATGATTGATTCTAGTTAGAGTATGTTGTTTTAATATTGTTAGAAAATATTCTAATAGTTTGTAAACAGTGTAACTATAGTAAAATTCATAAATTTGTTTTAAAAGTTCAGTTATAAATATGTTTATACTTACATAATATTTACTACATAACATTTACCGTTAGATATTTTTAAAGAAGAAAAAAGTAATTTGAAAGTTGATTTTGTTTTTAATTTAGCGAGAAAAATTTTCTAAATATTCAGAAATTGACGACCATCGAAAATACAGAAACAGACAAATAAATCAAATCGAGTCAGAAAGAAAAAACATAAACGCAAAGTGGAAACGTATATAAATAAAACATAAACTTTTCACACCTCATAAATATTTTCTGTAACGTTTTGTTACGAATGACGTATTAGATAACGCATTGACCTCGGGAGACAAAGAGATCCTGATTCGATTTCTACTTTTTCTAAGTATTTTTCTTATATTTTTTTATTATTCACTTTTAAGTTTTTGTACACACAAAAAGTATTATTCTTTTTGTCAACACGCACCAGAAACTTTATAATTATCTTCGAAGATAATTACACTGAATTCTAAAGGAGAGTCAGTTCTATACGAGATTTTCTTTATTATCCCACTTCTTAGCGCTCTTCTGTTGTGGAGATTCAGTTGTACAAAGCGTGTTAAAAATATGATTTATTGTGAGTTTTTGATACTGTTTATTAAAAGGCTTATACTCTGCAAACATTTATTATAAAATGTAGCATTTTATACAATATAAAAATATATCAAAACATGTATACTTCGTGTAAACACACTTTCAAGAAAAAAGAAAAAGTATAAGTGACTTTGTTCATGTGGAAAATTTGTCAGAATAGCTGAGAAAATTAATTTTCCTTGTGTGCTTTCACGCATATTCTATTTTACTGAAGTTGAGAACAATGAAAAAAAAATCACTCAATAAATATTAAATAGTTTACAATAATTATGTTACTATAAACCAAATTAGTAATAAAAATTCTGTAATTGTTTAAAAATAATTTTTCATTATAAATTAAACACCTTGATGCACCATATAAAATATGTTTTATGTTATAAAAACTATGTGCAAATAAATTAATGCATATATTTGAATTTTTTTAGTATAAAAATATAAATCTAATGTAAACTATTTGTTTTTTTTTAATCTTTATAGTTTACGTAAGCCAAAAACGAACTGTTTTCTTAAGGAGAATTGTGATTTATGTGAC